GAGCGTAGTCATCACCACCCACCGCCAACTCTTGGGCTACTCTTTTACCAACGAATAGTGGGATTGACCGTCACATTATAACGCCCCCACGGCTGAAAGGGCGAGCATGTTTTGGTGGTATGCGGATTCGAACCCGTGACCCTCAGATTGTGAGTCGAGCGCCTTATCCACCTGGCCATGCCGGGCCTGCTGTATGTATGAATCAGTATAACAACGTATAATAAATTACGTGTGTAATCTGCAGGTGTTGTTCATGCTTGTGCTTGCTTATAGCTATGGTGAGTATAAGTGCCAGTGAGCACCTATTTTTGTGAATCATAAAGAAGTACTTGTAAAGGATTAATACCTTCAATACATTATAGTAACATTAGCATAAAACTCAATCTCAGATCATCTCTGTTTCAAATTTTTCCTGGGAGGCATGCCCCACAGACCCCTAGTTTTAACTTTTCCTGGGAGACATGCCCCCAGACCCATCCACCCCTAGCACCGACATGCTTTGCACACTATTCTGAGTTGCCTGACCAATCCAATATTGCTTCCTCCACCCCTAAACCTTATTTTTCTGTTCATGATTTCCGTGCACAATTAAGTGAATTGCTTAACTATCTACTATTTCATATCTAAAAATGGTGTTAATGTTAATAAACATCGCCATAATATAAAGCATTAACTAAAATACTCTCTTCAAATCTAAAGTTTCAAATCTTACCATTGTTAAGTTTTCTCTTTGAGGCAGGTGTCAGTTACAAGATTAACAGGGAAGAAACAACTAATTCGTCCACTGCTTGTTTGGAGCCGAGCTCTATTTTGCACTTGTGTCGTGCTGAATGAAAATATTTAATTTGATATGATACATAAGATGAAGCTTTGGTTTAGAGTTTGGGTGAAGTCCTTCGTTCTTATACGTCACGACACATCTAACCAATCACGAGGCTTTGGCGCAGCGTGAGAATAAAGTCTGGGAGTGAACATAATTGGAACGATGTGAAAGCTGAAGTGGATCCATTATCTGTAATATAATCTGGTTGCTTACTAGTCCCTCAGAGCTTTTGAATGTGTTGCACAACGTCCCCTAGGATGTTATTTAATGTATTACAAACTTCAAGTATTGTCATTCTCAGAAGAGCACTTTCTGGGTTGTTGAAAACAAAGTTAACAAATAATTATAATTGCGCAATAAATGTCCCAAACATTGGGAGGAATGGGTTAATAAGCAAGCATTATCTTTGGATCCCGATGCATCTGTTTATCCTACAAAATGGCGAACATGTTTAGTGATTTGACACTGAAAAATATTTCACAGAAATCGGATAAATCATCGAGAGACGACATCCTTTTATGATGAAACAATTTCAATATTTTTTATGTATGTTAAACAAAAACTTTTAATGTGGTTTTATTATGGTTAATTCATAAAATAAACTTAACCACCACCCCCCAAATTTGATGCGGAGTGCCAGCATCGTTGTTGTTTTTTTCTCTCTGTTACTAAAATTGAACACAGTTGAGAGACGGGGGGGGACATATCAAAACAAAGTTTCAGACACTTGACAAAAGCGGCACCTGGTGGTAGCCACAGACTGATTGTACATGGCGACATTGTCCAATGATTCACCACCACAAATTATTCTTCCTCATCCCCAGATATATCTTAATATCCAATTAAGTTAGCCCTGAACCATGTTAATTTCCCAGCCAATTTTCTAATAACGAAATGAGAACATAAACACTGCCAAACGTTGTTCATTCTAAATCCCTTTGTAATAACTGTCACAGAAAAATAAGAAATAACTAAATAACTTTTTACACTTTATAACAGGTGGCGCTCTGGACTCAAATAAATAGATACTGCACAAATTTCACAGGAATAAAAACAATCATTCCAATAACTAAAAAAAAAGTCACGCTAGTTTAAATATGGATGATATAGAAGTCTGGGTGTTTTAGAGCTTTTGCTTTCGTCCTTGTAAAATTAATTTACTGAATAAATTTCTAGGAACTTTTTTTGTTACTAAATCACATAAATGAAGGAGACCATGAGGTAGTGAGCACACACTTAGCAGCGATAGCCTTGGAACTGGTTTTGTTGCTTAATGAATAAATACCGTTATTAAAACACTTAGAATACAACATGATAATCAATAGTGTTGGTGTATTTCTATATTTTAAATCAATCTTTACCATCAACTTATTTATCTCGTAGTATTTATCCGACAATATTAAAAAAATAAGTTTCATGTTTATCAGGAACTACACGTACACACATATTTATCTTCTAGAGTCTAGACAATTGAAACGTGACATTTCCAGCATAGTTTCTTATTATCATACATTGTATACTGCAGGGATTCTCATACTGTGGTACGTGGAGCTAATGTCGGTGGTACACGACACAATTAACATAAAAAAATCATAAAATTTGTAATAAACTTTATCTGAGCTTTCCACGTACGTATACATACTTCTCTCCTCACTTACAAACACGCCCTCTACTTTCATAGACTCGCTAGTATTTTCACTTACAAACCCACCCTCTACTTACACAGACTCGCCAGTATTTTCACTTACAAACACACCCTCTACTTTCATAGACTCACCAGTATTTTCTTCCCTACAAACACACCCTCTACTTTCATAGACTCACCAGTATTTTCTTCCCTACAAATTGACAAAAATGGTACCACATATTCTTTAATCGTGCCAGAAAAAACAATCGCATCCTTCGCATTAATGGGTTAGTGTTAGAAATATTAATTTTTGTTACTAGGTTTTTTTATCTTTTTTCAAATTAGGCCTGGGTTTGTAATTTTTAAAAATTAAACAAAAAATTGTACGCGAGCCTGAAACGGTTGAGAACCACTGGTTTACTGTATTTGTATTTACGACAAAGCTACTAATGCTATCTGCCTCCGTCCTTAAGAACCACCCTAACACTCACCATGCATACTAAGAGAATGACTGCCACTATTATAACGCACTCATACCTTAAAGTCCAGGGAACATTTTGTGGTATAGCACAAGGTTTAACTCGGAGCGGCAGCTCCTAAACCCGGCTGTTTACTAGTTAACACTTTCATCGATTCTCTGCGCCTTGGGTTGTTAATTAATACATGTACTAGTCATCACTGGACGAGATGTATATATGGTGTTCCATACGTAGACAAAACAAACAAAAAATTTGTCTTTCTATGTTATTAACTGCTCAAAATCCAGACTTGGCTGTAAATTGCGATTTTTGTATATATTTTTGTTGGTAATATTATACTGAAATATCGTAAGCTTGATTTAATAAAAATCTGTTTTAACTTGGCATGTCTTTTGGCAAACGTTCAAGCAAACACACTAATAAAACATACCAACGTCACAAAAGGTTAGTTTTAACAAGCTAACCGGAGGCGAAGTCACGCTGATATAAAGTATATTATGAAAAACAATTTTTCTTGATTGAATAATTCATATATTTGGAAGCTTCAGGATGAAAATTTTGAACAATTAATATTCTTTATTTAAAAACAAAACAAAACGTTGTAACACTGAAGTACATATCTTTCATTTAAACAAGTTTTTGGAACCACCTGGTGACGAGCTATATAGTTTAAAATTAAATTATGCAATTTCAACCAACTATTTGGCATTCAGGTTTTCTTAAACTACAGTTTAATACAGAGTTACACTGGTACATACGATATATTTCGCAACAGTTCGATTGTTTTCCAATTTTAGAAATTTTGCGCAAATCAACACAAGAGCAATCTGCGCATATTCGCCCCTCACTTTGAATTGACAGATTTTATGGAAGGCGGCCAAGAACAACACTTATCGTCAACTTTGGGGATACTATTGTGAGAGAGTTTGTGTGGCCACGAGACGCGAACCGTGAATTTCCAGATACACATTCCGGCCCGACAATGGTAGTTTGAACTCTATCCCCTAATTAAATAATAATAATAATTTATAAGATGCTTGGGAGATTTTTTTTTTTCCCGAATCGAAAGGTTTTCGAATAAGCAAAACTTCTAAATGTCTGGACTGCTGGAGATGTCATTAAATCAAACTGGGTGGATCATAATGAAAGCTTGGAAATTGGAAGAGGTCTGGCTTAGGCACGTGCTCACTGGTACGTTCCTGTTTTTCAAGAGTATCCTGGATGTTTAAATAGCTGCTGCTTTTGACGAAGTATAGCGTTTCAGTATTGCATATTACCAAGAATAACAAAATAAAAAGTACGGTATAGGTAAAAGGAAATATTAATTTCTAAAATGTTAGACGCACATGTTGCAAAGAACGGCGGTTGGAGAGGGGACGATTCACTATTCTTTTTTTTAAATCAGATTGAACAGTGTTCCGGTGACAAATGAGAAACTGAAATTTTGCTGCTGTTAAGCAACCATTCTGACCATGTTCATTTTGCCATGGTGACAGAACTGTGGGGGCGGTGTAACTGTGGCATCCTACATGTTGTGCTCTATCGTACGCCACAAGGACCCTTCTTAGCCAAGTGCTGAAACTATTGATTTTAACATTTCCTTAGTGGAATAACACAGGTCTCGGCTTATAGCCAAACGCTTTATGCATAATATAAATCACACTTGTAAGTATAAGCAACTGATTAAAGTATCTTAACCCTAGAATTGCCGATAGCGTTCGAACACATTTTTCTTAACTATTTATGCAACAAATTGGTTGAGGTTCCACGGCTTTGTTCGTTAAAAACACCGTAAATACTGCAATTAATCCTACTTATTGCTGCTGGGCTCACACTACACGTTTCAAACAAAATGTGTGATCTCACTAAACTCAATAATTGTCAAAGTTTCATATAACTTACACTTGAAACACACTTTTGGAAAGATGCTATAAAGTTTCATAAGGCCCACCTTAACAATTATCAGATGAGACACTTATAAAACAAAACAAAAAAGGACTTTCCTGACGTTCTAATTTATTTCATGGCTTGGTGGTTAGCATGCTAGGTAGGATGTATACCTAAAGGTCCAAGATTTAATACGCGATATGCTATTGAACACGCCCCTCACTTGAAGCTGCGGGAGCTTTACAAACCTCATAATAAACCTCGCTATTCGGCTAAGAGTTGCCCCGTAGGCGGTAGGTGCTGCTGACTTGTTATCTCTTCCTCCGGTCAGAACTTATAAATTAGAGATGGATATTCATGAACGTTGTGGTTATCTCATCTCACATTAGGATTTGTTTGTTTGTTTTGAATTTCGTGCAAAGCCACACGAGGGCTATCTGCGTTAGCCGTCACTAATTTAGCAGTGTAAGACTAGAGGGATGGCAGCTAGTCATCACCACCCACTTCCAATTCTTGGGCTACTCTTTTACCAACGAATAGTGGGATTGACCGTCACATTATAACGCTTTCACGGCTGAAAGGGCGAGCATGTTTGGTGTGAGGGGATTCAAACCCGCGACCCGCAGATTGCGAGTCGAGCGCCCTAACCACCTGGCCATGCCGGGACCTCACATTAGGAGCCGTGGGTTGAAATTGCAGTGCTTATTCAGTTTCCAGTTCTTAGCCTATTTCTTCTTATAAAAGACGTATTAATTTTTGATTCTAGCATTCGAATTCTGACCATTAAGTTTCCATTGTAAAATGCTCCCAAGTCTTTTAAAACATTAACGAAAGTTAAATCATTCAATAACGGTATATTTATACTTGACAATATTAATAACAGAGGTCGCCACTAACCAGACAGAGATTAAAAACACAAATATATCCAACGCTCAATTTAATAACAAGGAGAAAGGTTCAACAGCTCTTACTTTTATCAATTGAACTTGTAATACCTTTAAAGTACTTTTTGTCTTCCTAAAATTTACTGTATACTAGTTTGCTGTCGAATATTTTTAATGTCTCAGTTTTAATATACAGCTATTGTACGGAAAATTGCTTTTAATTTCACACACATCGTTTTGAACTTCGTTACGTACAATTATGTAAACAGTTTATTAACCTTTGTAACGGATTCTTCCGCTCCTGCTGCCACTTCCTTTTTACCAGCCTTCTGTTTGCTCCTTCCTTGGCCCATGGTGGACAGTTAATATGGTCTGTAAAATAGACACAATCTTGATTATTTGACACGTGTGTAACAACACTGGAGTAAACAATAGATTTTAAGAAACGAAACGAACAATTCAAATTGATACTTTAAACATATATTATAAGCCCAACCATTCATCAAACGAATAGAACTGAAACATTTTTTCTTATGATATCATTCATACGTCGAAATGTGAAAAATAAATTATTTGAAGTTCCTAGCTGAAAGAGTATACGGAAAGTGAAAGAATAGAGAAACAGTAGGAGATAACATGAAAGGGGCTTTAGGATGGAAGGCTAGTTGTAAAGTGATAGGGGCTGACGAAGACAAGACTAGCTGTAATAACCAGGAGAAAAAGACTAGCCGAAATAATACATAGGCTGTAGGAAATAACATGACCGGGTTACAGGAGAGAAGGCTAGCCGAAATAATACATAGGCTGTAGGAGATAACATACAGGAGAGAAGGCTAGCTGAAACAATACAAAGGCTCTTGGAAGTAATATGACAGGGTTACAGGAGAGAAGGCTAGCCGAAATAATGCAAAAGCTCTAGGAGGTAACGTGACAGGGGTATAAGAGAGATGACTATCTGAAATAAATTCACAGTCTTCGGGAGGTATCATGATAGAAGCTACAGAAAACAACATTAGCTGAAGAAGTACAAACGACTAAAGAGACAACATAAGTTGTAACATTACGAAGCCTACAGTAGATAACACTAGTTACAACGTGGAAGAAGCAAAGTATGCCAAATATGCTTTATTTGTTGCAATATGCAAACCGAAAAAAAATCCCTCTATGTATGTGAACTAGTGGGACAAACTTATGCATGCAAATTATATTAGTAAATTATATACAAGATATACAAAGTTATGCACACAAAATAAGTTAATGGACTATATACAATAAATACAGAATAATTAATACAAGATAAATTAGTAACCATAGTTCGTTGTATGTATCGATCAATTCCACACTTCCACTCGAGTAGCCTAAGTTGACAGTGGGTGGTTTTGACAGACTACTTCCCTTCTAGTCTATCACTTCTAAATTAAAGACAAGTAGCGCAGATAGTCATCGAGTAGCTTTGTACGAAATTCAACAAACAAGCATACAGTATAAGTTATTAAATTATCTACATCACATATTGCACACAAAGTAATTTTTCATTATTTAACATTTCATTAGTTTCCACGTTTAGCTCACAAGTCGTTTACGGACATCAGGAAATTACATGATCAGGAAATCCATCGTTTTCAAACAAGTGGGACACACAATTCTACGCGTTTATGGGCAAGTTTATGATACTAAATACACACACAGAGGTAAATAAGCTTCCTGGGGTGGTTAAAATTAATGCTACAAAACATCAGACTTACTACCACCTACAGTCTAAATAGAAAATCACGAAATTAAAAAAACAAAAATTTGAATCAACTGTGTTTATTCTTGTGCGTATTAGGCCTAACTTCACAAATAACACTAGATAGTCACAAACTCGCTAATTTTTCTCTCGTACCTACTGCATTCTAGTACTTCTATAAATTAACAAATTAATCGATCAACAATCTCCAGTAGTCTCGCCTAAATTACGTTTTATATCACTCAAATCGTTTACCAAACGTTCAGGAAGATTCCAGACGTTGAGCAACGCGTTCACTTCGTGATTTCAAAACTCCTCCTAGCCAAAATTAATACAAACATCTAAACTTAAGAAACAAAAAACAACAACATAGGCTACAACAATGTGATAAATATCAATTTAACTTTAATTTTTGTAAATTAGACGCTAGAAGATAAAATAAAACCACCTAAAACTCAGAAAGTAATATTTCTGCTTTAAACATATCATTTCTAGTGGTTATATAGTTCCTCAAACTTCATGAAACAAGAAAGAAATGTTTCATTACGAATATAAGTTTTAAGTTATGTTTTC